GTGACACCTGCCCCAAACCTCACCTGGGATGTGTGACACCTGCCCCAAACCTCACCTGGGGTGTAAGGCTATGACATCTGTCCCAAACCTCACCTGGGGTGTGTGACACCTGCCCCAAACCTCACCTGGGGTGTAAGGCTATGACATCTGTCCCAAACCTCACCTGGGGTGTGTGACACCTGCCCCAAACCTCACCTGGGGTGTAAGGCTATGACATCTGTCCCAAACCTCACCTGGGGTGTGTGACACCTGCCCCAAACCTCACCTGGGGTGTAAGGCTATGACATCTGTCCCAAACCTCACCTGGGGTGTGTGACACCTGCCCCAAACCTCACCTGGGGTGTAAGGCTATGACACCTGCCCCAAACCTCACCTGGGGTGTGTGACACCTGCCCCAAACCTCACCTGGGGTGTGTGACACCTGCCCCAAACCTCACCTGGGGTGTAAGGCTATGACACCTGCCCCAAACCTCACCTGGGGTGTGTGATACCTGCCCCAAACCTCACCTGGGGTGTGTGATACCTGCCCCAAACCTCACCTGCTGAGGCCAGGACAGGAGTGTGGTGTGAGGGAGGGAGCTGGGGTGGTTGGGGCAAGGAGGAGGTTGAGCTTGTTGCAATCACAACCTTCTTTAGGAGCATCTTAGTTGGAAATACAATCTGGGGATCATCAAACACCATCAACTGGTTGTAAAAATGGCATTGTCAGTTCCAGGAGTTTGTAGGAAATATTTTTAACAAGAGGCAAATGATGACACCCAGAGCCCTCTGTGAGGAACTGGAGCTCCTGGCTCCAGCCATGGTGGAATCCTTTCCTGCAGCAGCCAGGACCTGGCATGGAATGGATTCAAACTGACTGAAAGGATGTCTTGCTGTTTTTTATTCAATAACTGCTATGCAAACAATGTTATCCTTAAGGAAAAATATTCAAGAAAAACCTCCACAATAATTCCTTCCCTCCTCTGCACTCAGCTCAGCAGCTCACATCAGCTCCCCTCTCTTTTTGCTTGTGTTGGGTTTTTTTTTCTGCTTTATGATTGTTTTTGAGTTTATGGGTCACTCACAAGCAGTTCCCTCCAGCCACTGATCATTTGGCTCATAACTGTGCAGGATGAAGTGTAAGGGACATAATCTGTTCTGGTTTGCTGCTAAGAGCCCACTGAAACTCGGGGGTGTTTTGCCTTCTTAACCAGTAGGAAATTGGATATTTAATAGAAAACTTTATAATACAACTCTAATTAAAGAACAACAAAATGAAAGCCCCAAATTGCTTCATTTCAGCATTGTATATAAATAATAGTTATGGCTTCATGGAATTGCCTTTGTGTGTTAGGATTCAGTCAGAGTGGAAGCCACTCTTTTCCTTGCTCCTGCAGAAGCTGCTCCTGTCCTCCTGCAGTGGAGGGTGGTGGGTGTTCCTTCTCCTACTCTGCAAGAGGCAGGAATTCATGCCTTGGTATCAGCTGCTGTAACTACTTGAAAAATGAATTTCTAGAGGAAAAAACCTCAAAGGAGTATTGGGAAAAATCCCTCCTTTGAGGTGCCAAGTTGTTTTGGGCACAAAATTCATCACCATGGTGGTGATCCACGCTGAGCCACTGCAAACTGAGAGTGGGTGTGATGGTAAATAGTAACAGCAACAAAAGCTGCAAAAAATGCCCCATTATTTAAATTAATGAATTGGCCTCCCAGCAAAGAGACAACTGAGCATCTTCAGCCTTTTCTGAGGATGTCCAAAACCTTCCCCAGGCTGCAGCTGGCTTTGGAACTAAAACTGAATACCGGGACTTTCAGGCCAGGTGACAGAGATGTCCCTTTGTCCCTTCCATCCATCATTCAGAGCCAGGTGCTCTCTGGGCCACATTCAGGAATCTTTCCCTGTGTTTTCTTTCCACCTTGGAGAACTTAACAGGAAGTTATTTTTGTAGTACAGAAATTTTGAACATAGCCTTAAGAACTCTGAAATTCTATAATTCACTCCTTTATGGCAAATTTTGTATTTTGAGAGTTCTTTCCATAGAATTCCATTGCTTTTCTAAAGTGTTCCATTCGTTTTAATCCCGTTAAATTCCAAAATGTCTTTGATAAAGAGTTATGCAATGGAGCAGGGAACTATTTCTCCCCCAGCTGCCCATTTCTCTCTTCAGTTGATTTTCAGATGGCATGAAACTGTAGCTCTGAACTCCTACAAAGAGCCAGGTTAAGATTTGTCTGTGGGTGCTTAATGCAGTTCGACATCTTGGAGAAGGAGGAATGAGAAGTGGTCATTATCCATTATCTGCTTGGAACCTTTCAGAGAAAGAAACAGCTTCTGCCAAACACAAAAAGATGTTTGAGCTGAAGCCAGACAAGGAGGAAACAAGATCACCTTCTAGCACTGTGAGATTGCTTTCCTGATGATGTTGTTTCAAGGAAAACTGGAATGTGTATGGCTGAAGAAGTGCAGGTGGTGCCATGGGTTTTACATGGATTAGCAGAGTTGTTCTGGACAATGATTCACTGTCCCTTCTCTTGGCAGAAAATAAATTTTCCAGTCTTGGAAAGAAACGTGTATATATATGCATATGTGTTTTAATAAATGTTTCTCTACATGGAAAAAGAGCAAATTTGAGTAAAAATAGTATCCGCTGGTGGAAAAGTTAACAGTGAGAATGAACACTTTTGACAAAAAGCTGTATTGACACTCCCCAGTTCAGGTCAGGAGTGATGGATAACGTGGTGCCACTCCAGGGTAGTCCTGGATTCACCCCCTGGGGGCCTGGCTTGGTGCTCTCTGCAGGGAAAGGTCCCAGCTCCAAGGGTGGGTTTAAACCCAGTTCTTGCAGGTGCGTGAACTGGACCTGGTTTATTTTAGCTCCTCTGTGGAAATATTCCAGAAATGGCTAAGAAAATTTCCTTTTTGAAGAATGAAGAGCCAGCTGTTTATTGCAGCTCTCATCCTAGAGAAGGAGGATTCTGAGGTTGCCATGAATCCAATCACAAAGACACAGAGAGGAATTAAGAAACCAAATAATTTGGAATTATATTTTTTGTTATTATCCATATTATTATCCTTACTGATGTCATGATTTTTACATACATTGTCTTGAGGTCAATCAGCACTAAACCAAGTGGCATTTCCATTTAGGAAGCTAAAAAATTGCTTCCATTCAATGCTTTAAAGCTCCTGAGTTTTGTCAATTCTTAATGATAGTGACATTTCAGTCTCCCACTTCTTCAGGACTGCACTTTTCCCATCTTATATCTGCCTGGGCCTGTTTACTTTGTGTGGGAAAAATTCTCATCTAGGAAAGGGAGGAAGAATTAATCCAGTTACTGAGTTTGGATTTCTCTCATATTATTTCTTCCCTGTAACACAGTTACATATGAGGATCTCAGAGGTTTGGAATGTCAGAATAAGCCTGGGGGAGAACTGGTGGGAAGAGAACAGGTCACTCAACAATTTATTACATGGACATCAGTGTGACGTGCAAAATTTATGCTTCTTATTACAGACTCTGCATTTAAAGCATGTGGGTGTACAGATATAAGACACTCTTTACTTCTAAAATAAATAATGCAAAGTCCACTTAAATTAATGTTATTTCTGTTAACCAGCTCCATCCCTTCATGTCCAATGAAATCTTACTAAAAAGCCCTGTTGGAAGAACACGAGCATCTCTTGTAGCCGAGGTTGTCTTGCAGAACTGGTCTCCACTGTCCTTAAAATGCCCACAGCAATTTAAATCATTTACATAAACAGAAATGCTTTTACAGGGAGGACACTGAAATGTGTTTTTAAAGCTGCCCAAACCCCTAAACCATTAAAACAGATGTGACTGATGGTTTTGTGAAATTTTGATGGCGCTTTCTGCACAGAGTCACAGAATCCAGTGCCACCGCTGCCATGGGTGACACTTTCTGCTCTCCCAGCCTGCTCCAAGCCCCATCCAGCCTGGCCTTGGGCACTGCCAGGGATCATGGGGCAGCCACAGCTTCTCTGGGCACCTGTGCCAGATTGTCCCCACCCTCACAGGGCAGAATTTCTTCCATATATCCAATCTAAACCTCCTCTCTGTCAGTTTGAAGCCATTCCTCCTTGTGTGTCACTACAGCTCCTGATGGAGAATCCCTCTCTGCCTTCCCTGTAGACCCTCTGGAGATTATGGAACTGGTTATTTCTCCCACTTTCATGAGATTGTGTCAGTATCTTACACAGACACCAAAAAAAAAAGATAATTCCTCAGCACAAGTTACTCTTCTGTAAAGGTTATAGTAAACATGTCAATGCCTAATTAAGCAGCAAATTTTATCCATATTGTGGGGGATGTGCAGCTGTCTGATACTTCTGCTTTTCCTAGAGAAGGACAAAGGATCTTGTGAGGAATAAATTACTGTATGTACCTTCCAAAGGAAAACTTAACTGAAGCACAATTTGCTTTTATGGTACACAGTACATTACTTTTATTAAAAAAGGGTTTATTTATGCCTATTAACACTTTCAGATGTTGTATTTTGACATATAAATTATTTGTGTACATCCTAAAGTGTATTTTTAGGTGATCAAGTGGCAAAAGGTTACTGTACCTAGATGATGCTCTGAACCAGGAAGATTATGGCACTTATTTTTCTTCTCTTCCTTGCAAATTCAACCCCTTCTCTCACTGAGCCTAAAAACAATTTCATAGAATTGAAGCTTTTAGTATAAACTTTAAATTCTTACATATGAATTTTCCAACTGTCCCATTACAGGACAGTTAGAATTATACTCCCATGACAGGAAAATTATTAACTCGGGATCTCTGGCAGTTATAAAGAATTATGATCATCTGCCAACAAAATGCAGCAACCTTCACAGAAAGGAGACATCATTTGGCTTTTTTTCACTTCCAGAACTAACAGAAAATATAGTTATAGATTAAAACAAAATCCAGTAAAGAAAATACATAGTGAAAGCAGAAAAGTGGAACTGTAACGTTCTCCTTTAACAGGTTATTTCATATATTGACATTACATTTCAGGTTATGTCCAAGAGGAAGATTTAAAGGAAGAGGAAGATATAAAGGAGGAGGAAGAAGATGACGATGACAACAACTCCACTGCTCAGCTGCAGAGCAGCAATGACACTGGCACGGATGAGGAGCACGAAGTGGGTCCTGAGCAGAAAGGGAACTTCAGTTTCCAGAATTCCCCTGTCAGTCACATATCCAACCAGGACGCAGAGAACGAGTCACTGCTGAGTGACAGTAGTGACCATGTGGCAGATATCAAAAGCATCTGCTCCAGGGAGCCCCAGGACCCCAAAAGCAGCGCCCCCCCCAAAGCCCAGAGTGAAGCACACAATTGCATGGATAAAATGACAGCAGTCTATGCCAACATCCTGTCGGACTCTTACTGGACAGGCTTGGGGCTGGGTTTCAAGTTGTCCAACTCTGAAAAGAGGAGTTGCGACAACAGGAACGGAGGGAACAAAGCTGATTTCGATTGGCACCAAGACGCACTGTCCAAAAGCTTGCAGCAGAATTTACCTTCCAGGCCTGTCTCCAAGCCCAACCTGTTCAGCTCGGTGCAGCTCTACAGGCAGAGCAGCAAAATGTGCGGGACTGTGTTCACGGGCGCCAGCCGGTTCCGCTGCCGGCAGTGCAGCGCTGCCTACGACACCCTGGTAGAGCTCACGGTCCACATGAACGAGACAGGCCACTACCAGGATGACAACCACAAAAAGGACAAGCACAGACCTACCAGCTACTCCAAGCCCCGGAAAAGGGCCTTCCAGGACATGGACAAGGAAGATGCACAAAAAGTTCTGAAGTGTATGTTCTGTGGTGACTCTTTTGATTCCCTTCAAGACCTGAGTGTTCATATGATAAAAACAAAACATTACCAAAAAGTGCCTTTGAAGGAGCCGGTACCAACCATTTCTTCAAAAATGGTCACTCCAGCCAAGAAACGTGTGTTTGATGTGAACAGGCCTTGCTCCCCCGACTCCACGACAGGGTCTTTCTCAGACACCTTCTCTCCCCAGAAGAACGCGAACCTGCAGCTCTCCTCCAACAACCGCTACGGGTACCAGAATGGGGCCAGCTACACCTGGCAGTTCGAGGCCTGCAAATCCCAGATTTTGAAGTGTATGGAATGTGGAAGCTCCCATGATACCTTGCAGCAGCTCACAACCCACATGATGGTCACTGGCCATTTCTTGAAAGTCACGAGTTCAGCTTCAAAGAAAGGAAAGCAACTTGTTCTGGATCCTTTGGCTGTGGAAAAAATGCAATCGCTGTCTGAAGCACCAGCCAGTGACAGCCCCGTTTCAAAATCAACCAGTAAATCATCTGCAGAATGCATAGGCCCTGCCTCTGAACTTAAAAAAGAAAGTAAAAAAGATAAAGCTGATGATGCAAACAAAGATGAGAAAGCAATGAAAACTGAGGAGTACGAAGACGCTCTTCAGAAACCCCTGGATCCCACAATGAAATACCAGTACCTCCGAGAAGAAGATTTAGAAGATGGTTCAAAGGGTGGTGGGGACATTTTAAAGTCCTTGGAGAACACTGTCACGACAGCCATCAATAAAGCTCAGAACGGAGCTCCCAGCTGGAGTGCATATCCCAGCATCCACGCAGCTTACCAGCTCTCCGAGGCAGCCAAGCCGTCCCTGCCTGTGGGATCCCAGGTGCTCCAAATCAGGCCAACCATGACCAATAAATTGAGGCCCATAGCACCCAAGTGGAAGGTGATGCCTCTGGTCCCCATCTCAGCAAACGTGAGCCAGTGCACTCAAGTGAAGAAGGAGGCTGAGGACAAGGAGGAGGTGCATAAGGACTATGCTAAGGAGACTGTCCAGGCTGAGCCAGCCTCGCTCAGCCAAAATGAGAGGGAACCTCCCCTCAAAGCTGAAGCTTCTGTGGAGCCAAAAAAGACAGAACCATGTCCCTTGAAAGAAGAAGACAAAATTAAAGAGGACAGTGGAAAAGAAAAGCCAGCCCTCAAAGAATCACCAGCAGCTCCTCTCAGTAATGGCTGTGCCACTGCCAACCATTCCTCAGAGCTGCCCTGTGTGAACCCCCTGAGCGCACTGCAGTCCGTCCTGAACAATCACCTGGGCAAAGCCACTGAGCCCTTACAGCCTCAATCCAGCTGCAGCCCCAGCTCTAGCACAATTTCCGTGTTCCACAAACCTAATCTAAACATGATGGAGAAGCCAGTTTTGTCTCCTGCTCCAACCCCACCAAAGCCTGCAAGCGTATCCAGGCACTATTTGTTTGAAAACAATGATCAGCCTATTGACCTGACCAAATCCAAAGGCAAGAAAGCTGAGTCAGCTCAAGCACAGTCTTGTACTTCTCCACCTCAGAAGCACGCTCTGTCTGACATCGCCGACATGGTCAAAGTTCTTCCCAAAGCTACCACCCCAAAACCTGCTGCATCCTCAAGGATCCCATCCATGAAGTTGGAAATAGATGTCCGACGCTTCGAGGACGTCTCCACGGAAGTCTCCACTCTGCATAAAAGGAAGGGCAGGCAGTCAAACTGGAACCCTCAGCATCTGCTCATTTTGCAAGCTCAGTTTGCTTCCAGCCTCTTCCAGACATCTGAAGGTAAATATTTATTATCAGATCTAGGCCCGCAAGAGCGCATGCAGATTTCCAAATTCACTGGACTGTCGATGACCACCATCAGCCACTGGCTGGCAAATGTCAAGTATCAACTTAGGAAAACCGGAGGAACAAAGTTTTTGAAAAACATGGACAAAGGACATCCAGTCTTTTATTGCAGCGACTGTGCATCTCAGTTCCGAACCCCCTCTACTTACATTAGCCACTTAGAATCCCACCTAGGTTTCCAAATGAAAGACATGAACAGGCTGGCTGTGGAGCAGCAAACCAAGGTAGAGCAAGAAATCTCCAGAGTTTCAGTTCAAAGATCTCCTGAAACAATAGCTGGGGAAGAGGACACAGACTCTAAGTTCAAATGTAAGTTGTGCTGTCGGACATTTGCGAGCAAACATGCAGTAAAACTTCATCTAAGCAAAACACACAGCAAGTCACCAGAACACCATTCACAATTTGTAGCAGAAGTGGATGAAGAATAACTCTTAAGGTATGCATGCTCTATAGTGAGTTTTCATTTCAGCATTTCCAGGAGGCTCCGTCAGGCTCCGTGCTTTGGTAAAAGTAGGAAAACAATATAAAATGCATCGTGTATGCTGCGCCGCTCCTCCCCCGCATGCACACATCCATTTTATAACGTTTTCAGGAAGAGAGCTTGGTCAATGCAAACCCACACTGCCCTAGAGAGAAATGTTGCTGCTCGTTATTTGCAAAATAGCTGTTTGCCCATTTCTCTTTTGTTCCTAAGAATAAATCATTTCACAGCCACTGCACATCGGTGTGGAATGCAAGAACTAAGTGCTGCTCTTTGCAGTGAGAATGGAAAAAAGCAGATAAAGAGCACTGAAACCCAAAAGGTTATTACCTCACTCAGTGCTAGCACACCAATAAATCTGATTTGGATGGGGAAAAAGAAGAAAATTCAAAAGTCAAATTAGCAAAATCTCAATTATTCCAAGTTTCTCATAATCTCAAACACAGCCTTGAGAATCTTCAAATAGCTCTGAAAAGTTCCTATGTAGAAGTTCAGTTATTCTTCTGTTGATATTTGGATGTTCAGTTTTGTAAAATATTTTAATATTTTACACTTACTTAAACACTTGCTACTGTGAGTGGCCTTTTTTGTCACATCATTTTAACCTCTCTCTCCATCATTCCTTTTTTAATCTTTAAGATGTTTGATTATATTTTGCTTCGTGTTGGTGGAAGTCAATCCATAAACATCACTGACTTCAGTGCAAGTTCTCGTATAACCTGGGGGAGTTACTGCTTAATTGAGATTTTTTACAAGCTTAATATTTCCAAGACCTGTTAGTAGGATACTGCTGCGTTAGTGTTGCTATTTTTTTGCTGCAAGATACACCAGTTGCCACAACCAATGTTTATAACATGTAATGTAATATTCAGATGCCACACCATTTTTGCATTTTTAATTTTACTTGATTCACAAACTTGAATATTCTTGATTGAAATAAATATGCAGAACATCAACTAAAAGTCCAAACAGAAGTTTTTTGTTCTAACCAGTTTTTTTTCCAGGAGGGCTCTGTTTAGTTGTTCCCAACAATTCCTCCAGCAGACTCAGGCTCTGCCTGTGTTCACAGAACAACCATGTGCACATCCAGGTTTTCTCCAAGGTGTTCATTACTTGAATAACATTCAGAAAATGAATTTGTCAGATGGTGAAAATTAAAGATGTGCTGTGGGTTGTCACTGATGCCACCTTGGCTTTGTGGCCATCCTCTGGCTGATTGAGAGGATGGGGCTCAGTCCCCATTTGGGGGAAGATTTCCCATTTGTTTGCTGCAAATATTCATGTTTTAGGAAACACTTTCTGCTGCCAAAGCCAGCATGAGGGCTCTGTGTCACTTAAGCTCCATTAAAAATGCTACTTTTGAATAATTTAAACCACTGATCAAGAGGTTACTTTGGGCTGGTACTGTAAGCTATTGCCATGGAGTATAATGTCAGTGTTCAAGTGCAGTAAGATTTAAGTTTTGCATACATCTTGTACGTGCTGTCTGCATTGGAGGAGATTTATGCTTCCTGCATATTTTAGCCAGCAAAATTCCGTCTCACTCCTGAGGAGTTTGTTTTCTAAACAGGGCTAATACCCTAAAGTATCTATTTGGGCAATTTAACCCAACATCAGAGTGCTGCTTGTTTACCTGGCCACTCCAAATCAACACCCCCAGAGACTGGGTAGGGATAAACATCCCATACTTCGTTTCCTTCCCCACCACTTAATGATTATTAAGACTCTGCCATTCATAGTTTTCACACAAGAGATATCAGAGCAAACCAATAATTTGGGGACTATCAAACAAAAGCGATCTGCCAGATATATTAATACAACAGTTATTTTGGCACATTCATGGCTTAATGTGTGACAAATGTTTCAGATTTGGTCTTGAAAGCACCGTGCTATTACTCAGAGGCAAACCAAACACCCACCTTTGTAAACACATTACTGTTGCTGAGGATTGGAGGAACAAATACAAAAGGGGAGAAAAAAAAATCTCCAAGGGGAAAAAAAAAAGTGGTTTCTGCATTGTAATAACCTGCACGGAGACATATTATTCAGGTGATGTGTAACTACATAAATAAGGGACTGTCCTTCCTGCCTCTGGATGCCGAGAAATTGCTGTCCTCGTAATACTCATCCATTTCTAATTTATATCAAGATGCAGGTTGTATCTTACCTTTGAAAAAATATATTTAAATTGCAATGACAGAGTGATAGCACTGTTATCTGGAGCTATAATTTCAGTTGGTATGCATGATAGCACAAATTGTCTGAAATGATGGGGTATTTGGGATGGCATTGTAAAGATTTTATTACAGTTTCGGAGCCGAAAGCCTCCCTGAAGTTCTGACGAGGTTGGGAGTGGGGAGGCCTGAGTTTATTCATATGGATTCTTCAGAAATCTGCAAGGAGACTAAATCAAATAACAGGGATTTTCAGAGTTTACTTACTCTTACCATGTTATTTTTAAGATCCAGTATACATTTGAATAATAACAGAGGAGAGCAGAGTATTTAGAAAGGAGAAATATAAAGCTGAGATCCTTAAAACACACACATGCATTTATGTTTCCTTCTTGCAGGCAATATTGCAGTGAAATAGGCATAAAAATAGAGACTATAGATTGAAATAAATGGAAATAAAACAGTGGAAAGAATACTTGAAGTATAGAGATACATAAAGTACTTTATATTTCAATGGCATTTACTAGTAGAGCTTATATTGTCAAATGTTAGCTATCATTAAAAATATAAATGAATAATCTAGGTTAGTACTGTAGAAAAATGTGTTATGGGTATAGATTTATTTTTAAGACCTCTGTGAGGCTGTTTATAAGAAATTTGCTATAAATTCTTCTTAAATGTAAAAAGATATATATATCTCTTTTATAGTCATCTTTGGTGTTTTCCTGAATTCTTCTAAGTGATATGGGTTTAGTAATATAAAGTAAGATTATGTGTAATATACAACAATCAGACATCTCTATTCTCTTTCATTTAACCCACTTCAAATTTGTTTTTATTGCTATTCTTCATAGAAAAACCCATGAACATTAGGAAACATGGCTTTAATTAGAAGTAATTTGTATGTTGACTTGTACCTTGAAGAACATTTGTTCATTTCTTCAACTGAATTAGAATTTTTATGTTGTTCTGAGGAAAAAGGCAAGGCAGAATTGTATTCCTCACTTTAGAGCCAGGTGGGATTGGCTTGGAACTGGTCACTAACTGAGGCTCTCTGTGGCCTTGGCTACAACTTCTGATAGAAATAAATCTCCATAAAGTCAAATTACCCAACCTGACTGGGGAGATTTCTGTTTCAAAAGACCCTGATAAGTGAACAGGCAGCTACCTGAGATGAACTAATTTGAAAGTAAGGCTGTGCAAAACAAAAAAAAAAAAAAAAGTCACAACGATAAACAGTTTTTCTCTCTGTTTCCTCCTTTGTCTTTTTTTAACCATCAAGTTTAAAGCTTCTGCGGCGCTTTTTTTTCTACTTTATAGGAGACAACTGACATTCTGTGGTAAATGGAAGAAAGAGCAGAGCAGAACTGAAAATCCTCTAATGCACTGACACTAACTTGCCCTCTATTGTTGAAAATGAGCAGGCAATCATGATTGTTCATCAAATGGCTCCTAATGCAGTTAAAGCATTCAGCTATAATTTCTCCTTGCATTTATAATTACTGTCATAGACTGCACACCTCAGTGAGCAGATTAAAGCTATAAACTATTTAGCCGTAGCTTTAAGATGAGGAACTTGATTTGTCTGGCAGCAGTTATTTGTTAGAGAGCTTGACACTTCACATAAAAATGACTCAACTTGATGAAGAACAATGCAGTTTAAGCAATGCAGTGATTTTAAATCAGTCATTATACCACGCCCTGTAAGAATTGCAAAGCAATTTGTTAAATGATATATAGGACATGTAGATAACTGTATGTGTTAAGTATACCAAAATAGAAGATTTTTTTCTTCTCTGGATTTTATTTTCTCATCCCTCTGAAGCAGGAGGAGCTGCTCTGATCATGTTCCACTCTTAGCCAACATGGCTGTTACATGGTCAAGGACAATTGCGTGAATCAGTGGTACAAAATTCTATTTTAGGGAATTCAGCTTGCTCTTCAACTTTCATTTCTTCTTAGCAACAAATATTAGAAGCTGAGAGATCCTTCCAGGAGAATCAGACATGCTGGGATGTGCCTGCCTGCAGTGGTGTCACCACAATTTTGTAAGCAGAATTTACCAAGGGTTCTGCTCCCCATGCCATCAGCCAGAAAAAGAGGGTTCATCCCGTGGAAGTCTTGATAATTCCATTCAAATGGCATTCACCTGACAATGTCTTTTTGGAAAATGATGGTTCTCAATGGCAAAAAAAGTCTGTGGGGAAGTTCCATTTTAAAATAGATTTTTGTTAGGATAAACAGGGTAAAATCAAATGAGAGGAGACAGAGCTAGGAAAAGAAACAGCTTGGCCTTTTTGCTGAAGCAAGGAACTCCCTCCAAACCATCAGCCCTCCCTCAAAATAATCCTGTCCTGCTGAAGCCTCGGTTCTCTTAATCCTTTGAAATTTATCACTGTTTACCTGAAGTGGTAGATCCAGATTTATTTTTTTAATTGAACATTTTTTCTTGGATAGCATTTTTTCAATCTAGCCATCATCCTTGTAAACCCAATATCGGTGTGTTCTTGGCTTCCCTGAGAGCAGGGCCAGGCCAGATGATCCATCAGGCCGTGGCAGCACCGATGGATCTGTGCAGATTTCCTGGCTTTTTGGGGAGGTTTTACAGGTTTTACAGGTTGCTATTAAGATCAGTATTATTTACCATTGCATTTGAGCTTCCAACCTGCTGGGTCAACCCCCATTGTTCCTGGGCTCTGTACAAACACATTGCATGTGGCAGTTCCAAGGCAGAAACTCCTCTGCTCACAAAGAAACAGCAACTTTGGAGCAGATTCTAAC